CTCTTTAGGTGGTTCAGTAAATTAGCAGCTTCTACTTCCCATCCCCCAACTGATTTCTTTGGGACCTAAGTACATGTCACCAGCCAGATAACTGTGGGCAGGCAATGCTTCAACAATAACACTGAGAGGGCTTGAATGGACAAAACCTTCGGTTCACCCCATCCTGGCATGGAGACAGCTTGCAGTCATGCTTCCTGATTAAAAACAGTGTTTTCTGACATGTTGGTTTCTCTGCTGTGCTTTAATTTGATCTAAATATCTGTGCTTCTATTGGACATTGTACAAAGCTGCCAGCATGCCCCCCCTTCCCTTCTGGTCACTGGGTGTACTTTCCACAGCCATTTTTTGGCATGTCTGCATCCAAGGATAGCAATGTGCCATTGTAAAGCTTGAAACCCTGCTCTGCTTTGAAGCAGGTTTCAGGCATATGGGCTCTTTTTGTAGCTCTGATAAGTAGTGCTCTGAAACACCAAGTCACCTGTACCTATCTGCATATGCAACCTGTGAACCAACATCTAGGGCAAGTGATAGCTGGTTAAAGAGGACCAGCTATCACTAGGTTTTTTAAAGGTTGATCAGAGAATCAGTGAAACAGTGCTTTTTGTTTTTAACAAATGAAATTGACAAGAGTTCTGCCAGTTTCCACTTCTAGCCCTAATGAAAGAAGATTAACACTAAGGGATTTTTTTTCACCAGTCCACTGGTGAATGTGCTAGATAGGAAGGGGTCTAGTTCAAGGGAGAGTCAACAGAGGGCTACAAAAGGTCTATCAGTGGCTACCATATCCGCCAAGACCTGCTCATGGAAAATGTCCAGTGCTTGCTTTCTCGGCACAGGAGGAAGTGGAGGGTAAAGAAGTAGGACTTCCCCCATCAGAGGCCACAGTAACCACTGTATGGACAGAACACCTGATTGGCATTGTTGTCAAATCTGAAGAATGGATTGAAATGTGGACAGCAGTTTCAGCATGTGAGACAAGTAGTTTAGGGTTGCCATGTAGAAGAGCCCTTAGTCTAAATTCACTTCTTTTAAAAGCAGCAGCAGTAGTAATAAAATCTCATTTCTAAAAATATGCTACAGTAAGGAAAATGAACTTGGATCAAAAAGCAACATTTTATGAAAAAGAGGGATAAGTTGCTTCAAATCTTATGCTAAATAAAATTCATACAGTTTAGCTTCAGCTGACACTTTATTCAATAGTGATGGGTGTACATAATGTTGAAAATGCAAAAGACAAAATTAAATAAAAACAGCACATGTTCCAGTGTTAACAGATTATGGAATTTATCAAAATTTTTGGCACACAAAAAAGTAGACAACCACACACTGTATTGTGATATGGGTATTTTAAAGATAACACATTTGAATTCTGTGGTTAGTAGTTGCATGTTGCAAAACAAGGCTAGACATATTTCACATGTGACTTGAAATTACATGATCACACATCCACAAGAAATCTTTCTGGGAGTTCAAGTGAGGTGCCTGATATTTTGTTCCCAGCCACACTACAGATTAAAAATACTCTTTAAGAACTGCCTTTCGTCATTATGGATATGTACCAGCTCCTTAGAAACATTTTATTCTTACTCATATTAATTCTGCTCTTATGTTTCAATAAACAAGAGTTAACATATTCTGTTGTTGCTGTTAAGATGTGACTTGAAATTACATGATCACACATCCACAAGAAATCTTTCTGGGAGTTCAAGTGAGGTGCCTGATATTTTGTTCCCAGCCACACTACAGATTAAAAATACTCTTTAAGAACTGCCTTTCGTCATTATGGATATGTACCAGCTCCTTAGAAACATTTGATTCTTACTCAGATTAATTCTGCTCTTATGTTTCAATAAACAAGAGTTAACATATTTTGTTGTTGCTGTTAAGGGAGAAGAGAGGGGCATTTGGGACAGTTCTGTGCCAAGCTGAACATGGTGTTCTACATGAATTATGATCAAATCTCACAGAGACTGGTATGTTCCATATGTCCTTAAAATCCACACTATACTTCTAAAACATGGCATCTGTGAAAGACTGAACTGAGTGTATTCTTCGTTGTGTGGGTGGGAGTGGAAGAATGCCAAGTGTAGCAATATAAGGTACAGCATGTATAAATACTTCTCACTGGCACATGGAAAGGAACTTTAGCTGACACTGATTACATTTTGTCCAACAAGGAAACCCACATATTGCATCACTTTGTTCACACACCCCCCCCATAAAAGTCAAAACAATCTAAACAGCTAGGGATCAAATAGGGGAATCAACCTCAGGCTTCCAACTTTTAAGATTCAGGACCAAAAGAAGTGGGACAATGCAGATTGTAGAATACATCAGTGAAAGCTTTGCCAACTTTTCTCTTTATTATTTTAAATATGGAACTGGGTAATATGAAGGAAACAATTTTAATATGTCAGTAAATTCAGGACCAGTCTATGCAATCACTGAATTGTTGTGAATTACTGTTTTTGAATATTTCTTTACTCCTCACTCCCAAATTCTCTGCACACTGAAGAACATATTATATTATGCAAGAAGAACAAGCTGATCCCTTCTGATAACATGCTGTTTTTTAAATGCAGAGTCGCTGCGCTACTGAGGTAGTGTGATTTAGAAAAGGCTTTACAACTTCATTGAACTGATCATATAACTTGCCTTTGGTGTCTATGCCAACACAAATGTAAACATAATTGTTTAGGCAGAGGCTTAGTGTCTAAGCCTGAAATCTGATAGAATTTGGGGCATTACTCGTAGCTTTTTTTCATGCCCCAACCACACCAAAACATCTAAGGATACTTAACCTGATGATATTTCCTGGTAATTTTAAGGTCTTCCAGACAAGAACAGGACTTCTGGCTTTAAAACAATTCTGCATTATCAACTGTATCGTTCAAACACAATACAGAATTTTGGTATGCTGAAGTTGAATTGTAAATATTAATTCAAAAGTATAGACTGCATGAGAACAGATCAGAAAGGGGCACAAAATTCAAGCCTAATAAAGATTCACCAGCTGTAGACATGTTATACAGACTTGTATTATGTACATCAGTACAATAACCGTGATTTTTCCAGACCACTGTGACAAACATCAGGAAAACTAGAAACTTAATAGACATTGCATATATTTTATGCATAAATATAAACTATAAGCTATCCTGGATATTTGGAATGGTATAGAATCCATTAGCACATAAAATTAGTTAATGAAAAGATTCTTGTCTGACATAGCAAACCGTACTATGCACTAACAGATGACACAATTTACAATATTCCAGTTAGAAAGATATGCTTGGTTTAAGTCTACTGACAATGCAGTTGTCGCAGCAGACACAAAAAGAAGCAAAATGTAAACCATTTTTATCAAGTATTTTCTGGCTTTATTTCATGAAAAGGTGGCTAACTGAAATTTGTTTAATATTCCTGATGGCTGATATTAATGATGTAAAAACAAAACAGAACCTGTATTCTTTGGGCTGTGAAGTTAGCTAAAAGAAATGAGCAACTACTGAAGATTTAACAAGTGAGTTAACACAACCATTATTGTTATTTTGCAAGTCTTTTCAAACATCTCTAAAATATTTCTATTATTTACTGTTACGAATTGAATTCCACATGTTGAAACAAAACCCTCATTTTCCAATTAAATCCCTACTGCATTTTTTAAAAATTCCCAAACTACCCAGTAAGAATCAGTAGCGCTTCTTCTATTAATGTTTTCTTATTTCACTATGCAAATTTTATGTAAATTGATTAAGCAGTTTTTGAGTTAGTGGAATAAAATCAGAATATGACAAGAAAATAAGTAATCTTTCATATCAGGAGAAAATATTCTTATTAAAGGCAGGAAGGGTCAGAAGAATAATTAATCAGGGAGTTTTTAAGTATAATTAATCCAGCTAAAAGATAATCAAATGTTACATATGGCATTCCATATGCTGCATTTCCTGGATTCCATATATGTTTCCCCATATTTGTTACATATAAATAATTTCAGCCATACTTTTAATTTAGTTGTGTAGTTGAACTTTGTGATATTGTATATTAACCAGTTACCAGAATTAGTACAGGTAGTCCCCACTTTAAGAACGAGTTCCATTCCAAGATCTGTCTTTAAGTCGAATTTGTATGTAAGTTGGAACAGTATTATTGTATGATACTGTATAAGTAGTATTGTGTAATTAACTTGAATAACTGTGTATTTAACTCGAATAATTGTGTACTTAACTTGAATCTTGCTACAATAGGCTCCGTTCTTAACTATGGGTCATCCTTAAACCGGGTATCTTAACCCAGGGACTACTGTACCCAAAAACGTGGCATAAACAGGAAGCTGATAAAGGCAATGGCAAGCCTTGAAGAAAATTTACTATATTTAACCTCATCATTGTTTCAAATGACTCAACAGGTTTCCCAAGAATACTACTTTATATTATATATATATATATATATTATATATATATTGTGAAAAAACTACAGCTGAATGCTTAAGTATGTTGCAGAATTTGCTAAAACAATCATTTCTTTCAACTGACTTACAATCTAAATAAAGATATCCATTTCCAGGCACAACCTAAATACCATAATAGCAATGGGAGTCTCTTGGAAGACAGGAATACTGTATATATTACAGGAAACAATAACAGGACCAAGAATGCTACCAGACAAAATACATTTTGTAGTTTTTCTATCTTTTCTTATTTTTTCCGAGAAACAAAATAAATGAAATTAGCAGCAGGAAAACATAGGAGAATTACAAGTAAAAGGCAAAATCATCAGGATCCTCCTGCCCCACATTAAATGTTATGAATGAGACAGAGCATTGCACAATAAAATCTTTATCTGGGAGAATCTAAGATCCCCTGCCATGTCTTGTTCACTATTTATGTTTTTCAGAAAGTTCGGCATTGAGTTTGAAAAGAACTCTGCTAATCAAATTAGTATTTAAAACCATAACAATAAAAAATACTTGCCTGAAAGTAAAGTATGAGAGGTGTCAGTTAAAATAAAATGTTTTATTCATTTGTTAAAACTTTGTGAATCAAAATTTTAGAATATGTAAAAGTTTTAACTTGTGAACACCGGAATATCTACTGAAATAAAAATGTGCAAATAAACAAACCAGCTTTTTGGACACACAAGTGCTTCGAACCCTCACAGTAATCCACCTACAGTTTGTAATGAATTTCATTCACAGTTTTCTTCAAATATATCTTCCAAGGCACAAACAGGAAAATGATTTTCTAGGATAATAAGCAGAATTTGTTTTACACCACAGCTGGTACTGAAGGAAAGCCTACTGAATTTCCTTTTGGTTATCCATAACTTGGAACTCTGGGAGAGAGCCCTCTGCTCCCTCCCCAAAAAGCAGATTGCATAACTAAAGAGAAAGGTGACAAAAAGGCAGACTGGATTAAAACTGGGCCAATTCCAGAATTATTTCTAAAATCCTTCAGTATTTAGTAAGACATATTTTGGGTCAATGTTAACTACTCAAGCTAATTTCAACAACATTTTCATATACGAGGCTGTTCTATTTAAATAGAAGCCTAATTGTTATTAAAGAAAAATATATAAAATACAGGCATTATTCTGTCCAGTGCAGATTTGCCTCTCATGTTACAATCTAATTATAGTGAATTTCCTCAAGACAAAGAAAAGAAATGACTTGAGATGACAAGAATAAATGTATGTATCTGAGCCCTTATCTTCCTAACAGTCCATATTTGAAGGCTAACTACTTTGTTATTGTAACCACTTGTAATTTTCCACTTTTATGCCTCTTGCAGATGGTAAATATTTGATGACTTATCAATATCAGTCCTGGAAGGTAGGTAGATCAGTGGAAAAAGAGTGGATAAACCCTCCTGAGAGCATTATAAAGTTCCTGTGACAAAACCACTACGAACAGAAAAACAAGTGTTTTACTCTTTACATTGGGGTGGAAAGTATTTGTTGATGACAAATTCACAAAACTGGCTGTGAGGAGGCCCAGTGTTACATTTCATATGGCATTCGGCCATATGTCTTCAATGACCTGCTTTCAAACTCCAGTCCTAGGAACTTAAGGTAAGTTATAGGAAAGTTCAACAAAGTAGTTCAATGCATCTAATTGTTGTTATTTTGCCTCAGTCAAAAGTGATGCTAGAAGTGACCCCTACTTCTGCTTCTGAGATCATTTTACATCAACTACATAAACCATTAATTTTCATAACATTTTTTGGGATAATCCAGACAAACATGCTGCAAAGTCTTTATATGTCAGAAAAAAGCATATACACACACCTTAATTACGAGTGAAGGGGCACCATTGTAAACAAAGGTCAGTAGCACAGTGGTACAGTAGATTGTCAAGAAAAATCAATACAAGTGAAATACAGATTCATCTGCCTTGCTTGTACATTATTGCCAGATACAAGGAAGGAAGTCTGTAAATTCATAATTGTGAAGATTTATTAATAAGGACAGAACAACAAGTGAGTGCCCCATCTACTTTTTCTAGCTCGGTGTTAGCTATAGGGATCAACATGTGGTCCTTCAGTTTTTCAAACACCTATTAGGAAAAAAAAATAAGAAGTTGTTACATTTATACCTCTTTTCTGAATCTTTATCACTGGTTTAAAAAATTTCAATCAGAATTTTTTATTTCTTAGTAGAAAACCCCTCAGCAAGTGGTGGCATCTGGCTGACCTTCTTTGGGCTTGGAAACTAAACAAGACTAGGCTTGAACAGTCTTTGGATGTAATAGCACCAGGGAATCCCAGGGCCGTCAGACTAAGAAGCTAGAAAAACATCTTGGAAGAAGGCAACGGGAAACCACTCCCGTTCTATTGCTAAGACGACTATATGAATGTGTCCATGCAATCAGTAGGAGTCAAACTCAAGTTGAAAGAAACTTTACTTTTTTACCTTAGTAGAACAGCTCAGCCTCAAATTGGATACTCTGGATCGAAATTATAACACTTGGCAGTCAAGTTAGCATGTTAATGCACTGACCCATAACATTTTTGATATGGATCCCAGGAAGTAACATCCTTTAGGGGAAAGGGAGCAAAAGACTGATAAATGTGCTATTATGCCATATTTTAGTTCATGAGCCATGGATATGTCATATGCAATGAGTAATGCTGATTTTGATTTTTAATAAAATTATGCCCCAAGTGATGGGAAATGTGTGACAAACTAGTTTCATGATTTAATGTGTAATAACAGTCTGCATAAAGTTCATCCAGTGCTTACCTGCTTAAGGTATTATTAGTGGAGATGGGGAACAGAGTGCTTTATGTGGTCACTCCACAACTGTGTATTCTATGAGCTGCAGCATTGCTTCAGACCCAACATGTTGGGCAATAAATATTGTCAAGCATAAAGTTGCATTTTCAGTAATAGCCAGATTAAGTACAAATCAATAAAGACCTGTGGATATGCACCTCAAAGTAAGTTGTGAGTCAGCCCAAATTATAAAGCCAAAGCTCAGAAGAGAAGTCACAGATTCACATTTATCATAATGTTTGTTGGGGTCCTAAAGAGTGTCAGTAAAATACAACTAAGTCAATGCTATCTATACATATGGAGTAGAGAGAGATATAAATATATAACTTGATATGAGACCTTGTAGTAAGATTTTGGCTATCTGTACAATTTATCCAGATACCCAAAGAAATGCCCCCTAGAAACTGACATTACCTTCATTTCAATAATACTCAATGGATTAATAATGAATAAGGAACAAGAGCATGTTCAGCTTAAAACTATGTTCTGGTCTGTTTCAAATAATATACCTAAAACTCAGAGAGAGTGATTCCTCTGATATGCCACAGCATCACATCCAGACCAACCGACTACTGGGGTGCATGGCATTCCTGTGCTAAGAATACCATGCATGCCCACACAGATGTCTCCTTGGAATAATTTGTTGAATGTCCAGAAAAGTCTTTTTCATCTCAAGACACTCAAAATCAAAACAGCAAAATGAGAAATAATTTGGGAAGCCAAAGAGTGAGGGGCCAGGTTGCAAATAAATAACTAACAAAAATCTGGGTAGGAGAAATGGAATTGTTCTTAATTGTAGATCAATCCAGAATCTGATATGAGCAATGAAGAGTTGCAATTTCCAATATGAATCCCTTATCCCAGGTAAAAGACCAAAGTGATAGATGGCTTAAATAATTGCAAGTGGTCTAGCAAGGAGCAAGGACTTGTTCAGTTCTCCTGCACCCCTGTGTGTGAAAAGAAATAAAATATACAAATATATTTTGTACCACAACCTTATTGAGAATAGCTATTTTTGTATCTTTATCCAGACTATATAAAAGTCTGGATTTGCAGCATACGTTCCTAACAGCAGTGCCCACAGTGAACAAAGGGGAGGGGTGAGGCAGCAAAAAAAAAAAAAAAAAAAGGAAAAATGGTGGAAGCCCCACCCATTTTTTAAGTGCAATACTTCGACCACCTTACCTTTTTTGACATTGCCAGCACCTGACACTGCTGGTTTCTACTTATCAAATTCTATTTAGTACTATGCATCCTCAAAGTCCACCAGTATTTTTTGCTCTTTCCCTTTTATTGGTGAAAGCAGTGTTTGGGGAAAAAAAAGTCCTTGGAGACCAAACTAAAGATTCAATTGCTTCTCTCTCAAGCAATCTTAACTTACAACTGATCAGCATTTTATAAGAACAGGTCTATTCTTTTTGCCATTACCTTTGCGCTTTCTGGATACTCCTCAGGGGCTCGATGCAACAAAATATGACCTTTGCCAGGAATGTTTAAATATACACAGTTTGCTGCTGCATCATCAGGGACTGTAAGTTTGTCATAGCGATGGTCACTCATCTGCTGCATAGTCTGTTATAAAAAGATAAGTCAGGATCATATAAAAGCATTCATTACTCTTCAGAAATGGGGGAGAGAAATTATTTAAAAAATCATTTAAATAATCACAAAATGTTACAGTATAGCCTGACAGTTCCCAGTAAGAAATTCAGTTTATACAAGTTTAAAAGAGTTTTGTTGGATGATAAAAAGAAACCAGTGATATATACAGAAGGGCTTCTTAACACAAATTCCAGGATGCTCAACATTTCTGAAAGGCAAACATGTAACTATCTGGAATATATTAAGCATGTATTCAAATTCATTAGTTGTTGCAACTAATATAAATTTGTGCTTTCTTTGAAATATTTATCTATAAAATTAAGGTACATAACATCAGTCATTGTGAATAATTCGCAGTATTCTGCTTTATGTAGCCCCAGTTGCTAACACAACCAAATAGCAATGCTACTAATAAATTCCATTTTTCTTCATTTATGAAGGACATCATATCTGTCCCTAACAAATGTTTTTGTTTTGTCCTAATTTGTTCTTTGGGGAGGTCATAAAGTTACTTTTAAACATTTTAAGATATACTACATTTGTCATGCCTGAGATTTCAGGAATATATCCCCTCAGGAAAAAGTCTGATATGAAATAAAGGAATCCATACAATTTCTTTCTAGCTTTACTTCCTAATTGAAGTTTTAAAGAATATAGTACTGAAACAAAATACCTATCAGGTTGAAATTTTGGCTCAGGTTAGTTTTCATTAAAACTAAATACTACAGCTAATTAGCTGCCTTGACCTTACAGAAAAACTCTGTCCTCATGGAAGGCAGGCACTGACCTAGATTTAAAATTCTGTGGCTTATCATCTCAACACTTGATTTCACTTGATCCTGAGGCAGCTTGGTTAAAGCTAAAGCAACAGGCCCTTGATAATGATATTCAGTACAATCCTCCATCTTGTATAGGTTGGGCCTGTTTGGAAGGCACATCTCCCACACCAAATATCTAGCTAATATTCTTTGTCCAACTCACAGGAGAGCCCTTACACATAATTTAATATTTCTCTGTCCTTGCTGTTGGAAGATTTAACAACATTCTCATGCAACAGTAAATTTACACTGCCCACTGGGAGAAACAAAATCAGCTTCCTGCATGCTTTCCCGTTGCCTTTTGTATATAGTTTGGTGAGGTGGAGAATGCACTTTCTTCTCTCAGCTGACAGGTTATCTGAGATATCAAGCTTAATTATTGCTCAATTTCCATTGTTATTCAAAATGTAATAGTGTAGTAATTCTGTTAATTGTACTAAAAGATTTGTATTTTTAGTGCATTCTCTCAGTATACAGCATTTTGGTTAAGTGTTTGTTTTTGTTGGTTTGTTTTTTTATTTTTAACCATAAATCAATAAAACTAAAAAAGAAAAAAAAAGCCTAAACCTCCAGTGCAATATTTAAAGGGAGAGACAAACTAACAATACATGTCAAGAATTCAGGCAAAAGACAAAAAATGCCAGAAAGAAAATTTGCAGTACCATGGACAGATCCTTAGGTGCAAGAGGCTTGGTGCAACTAATCCTGCGCCAAGAAAACCCTCGTATTTCATATTCCATTTATAGGGAAGGGGTATTTAAGTGCAGGAAATATTTTCAGAGAGGACTATCACAAATAATAATTTGCTGCCTTTAATGACACTCAACATTTGCTATCTGAAGTAGGTGCCTCACTCTGCCGAATGGTAAGGCTAATTCTGTTTGTATTTTTTTGCATAAAGGCCATATACAAATTTAATAACAAATATATGATAATGATGTGCAGCTTAATTCACTGGATGAGACTGTTTAATATGTATGCCTTTTGCATACTGTGTGTATATTTGTGTGTACATGTCTGTGTGGGTGTATATGTGTATATATCACACAATAGGACACTGGAAATATCTGTAACAGAATGAAAAATAGGACATACCTCTTTTGACAGTTCCATGACATTTCTAAATACAAGACTCTCATTAGCCACATTGCAGGCTGATTCATAAATATCCTGTGGTGAATCTTAAGCAATGTCTTACATTCCTAAGGAAATGTCATCATTGTAATAGAATTTCATGTTTCTTCACTAGCAAAAATGCTAATGTGTGATTGTCCTACCATTGCATTTTGGTAATATCTATCTTAAGTAATATAAACATAAAAATTATAAACCTCTCTTTTACACTGACTTCCCCAAATGGCATGTCCTGGAAACCTCAGATTGTTCATATGTGTTAACCTTAAACATATAAACAACCCATTTTATTCCCAGGCAGAAAAATTGTAAGAGATAATTTTTCCAATGTAACATTCACACATTCCTTTACATTGTGCCAATGCTGTAGATAGATAACTACTGGTACAATGACTATCATTAAAACAGAGCAGGCTTTCAGTCTCAATAGCACTGTGCTCCTTTTCAAATTTAGAGAAAGCAAACCAGCATAATCTTTTTTCAGATTTTCCTCTTGCAATTCTACTCCTCAGCTTTAAACATATTTGATCTTTGAGATAGGGAACAGAGCAAGAAGGCTATCCAAGCAAAAAACTGGCACGCAAGCGAAGGATTTATTGCTTCAATGTTGCCTCTAATTCTCTGCATTAGAGAAGCAATAGTTAAGTTTCCTAGTCTTGAGGTTGGTGGTAAAGTTGATTTTCAGTACTGAAGAAGAACAAAGGCATTGCATATTGCGGTCTTTGGCCTGCTGTGCACTTTGGTTTCTTAGCAATGAAGAAATAATTCAAATACAAAATGATAAATGTGATACTATGTATAATGATAAATTTGGAATAAATTCAATTGAACTCACTGGGATTTGCATCTGAATATGTATATATAAGATCAAGTTGCAGGTCCTGAAAATATATATTCTTCAATTATACTAATATAACTTCTAAATATGTTCTAATTATTTAATGATAAGGACAAACTACAGGGAAAATGGAATGTGGCTGACCACTATGGTTTACCACCCTCCTTTTTTAAACATTTGAATTATGTTTAATATTTTGTGATATCATTAAATTTAGGATGCATATTTGTAATAATTACAATTAGGTTTTAATTGTTCTTAATGTGGTTTGTATTATATCGTATTAGTGACCATTTTGAACATCTTTTTGGATAAAAAAACAAGTCAAATACATAAATGATCATTACGCCAGTTTCATGCCCTTATATATACTAACATTTACACCAGTGAAGTAGATAAATCCAAGAATGATGCAACTAGGAGGATAAATTATGCAAGGCTTGCAAATATACAGAAATGTAATTTCTTCACATAATATATACAAATATTCCAAATTTTTATTCTTGGAATCTGAACTGGCTTGCTTAAGAATTCATACAGGACTGTTAGCTCTGTCCATAACTCCAGCTATTTACTTATAATTTATGGTAGCATCATACTGATGTATCAATGCAGAAAAAATAAGACTGGATTTGATCTGAACCAATAGGTTGTCTTTGTTGCAAATGAATGAATGAAATTAAATTTATAATAAATTTATTATTAAGTAATAAATAAATACAGTAAATAACTAACTCACAATTGATTTCTTTTATGAAAGCTTCATGACATCTTTGAGGAATGTGTTTTGATTCAGCTATAACTTGATTGCTTAAACAGAAGGCATAAAAATAAAGTGCATTTTGCTTTTGTTTATAGTATACAGTCCTTCTTTAGAAAATGTCATCTTATGTTGACAATACTTTTTGCAGCTGATATATAAGCCTTCTTAAGGGCAGCAGCAAATTAAATCAAGATTGGGCAATGGAATAATAATTGCCAACAGGATATTTCATGCATTTTTTTAAATCAAGGAGAAGGCTGTTCTGATCTATCTCGAATTATTTCAGTTTTTTAAAAAAATTAAACCTGACACAAATTATTAGTATGAGCCCAAGGCAGTTTTGTTGTTGTTGTTTTTTTTTTTGTTCTAATCCTGTAATGTAGATAAGCAGTCCTGTTGTACAAAATTTAAGCCAGAGCTCTTTTCCTTCATCTGCTAGTTGGTCATTTTAACTGAGATGCATGGCAGTAATTGACCACAGAACTTTCTGTATGGAAACATCCTCTATCATTGCTGAGCAGATGTTTAGCATCAGTAGCACCACTTAGATCTCGACAAAGGAAATAGCTACTGAAAAAAATAGGACTCAGTATTCAAGAAAGCTTCCTTATATACAGTACAGTAGATAAGTAATACAAGCTAACAGTTATATGAGTTTCTAGGCCAAATCTACCCACCCATTTCAAAACTGACAAATTCTGCTAGTACTGACTACAGATTTGCCTTTGACACACCTGTGACTGCACAGGAGCTAAACATGAGTGGGAAATACTATGAAAATCAAGTTGCATCACATGTTTTGGTGAGGTTTCACATTCACATTTCCTTTTTTCATTAGGGCTATGGAAGAATCTCTTTAGGCAAAGGTTTAAATTAGTCTTAAGCATGAAGGCAAAACTTTCTCAAATAAAATACCCATCCCTTATACTCCTTCAAGATCTCATATCTAACTGTGGTTGTTTCAATGCCTCATCTTTGATGAGACATGCATCTTTTAATTATTACATGCTATTTATAATACTATGTAATAATATGGTATCTATAATATTATGTAATTATAATGGCCATGTGATGTGGGTAAAGGGATTTCTCTATACATCCTTTTGGGAGAGTACATTCTGTGTCTGCAAAAGCTATTCAGTTGGCGATGGAAGACAAAAGTATCTACTGGGGTCGAAGGAAGGAAGGAAGGAAGGAAGGAAGGAAGGAAGGAAGGAAGGAAGGGATTAGAATGACCAAATACTGTAGCAACACATCAGAAATATGAGTCTATAAGACTATGTAAATTTCAAGCATGTACAACAACACTGCAGATTTTGAATACCTGGCATACTCAAATGCATAAAGATGACATACAAACTTGGCATATAAAGTTTATATTATCAAAAGTGCAAATGCACTTGCACACACTTATGCA